GTCGATACAGTGGGTGCGCGCCAGACTGAAGAAAGGCTAGAGGATGTCCACGTGTCCAATCCCTGCAGTAAATCACATGAATTACTCTAGAAGGTAGGCAATGTGACATAAAGAAGGATTTGCACGGATAATCCCACCAACTCACAGATTCAGTAATGATAACCTTAATTATCCCATTATAAATTGGGAGCTCACCTCTCATTTGAGGGATTAGCTACTCTCTCTAGGACATACATCATTTGATACCTTGTGTTATCATTATAAAGTCAGTCCGCTGAAGCGACCTGACCTTTATCATTAATACAAACACCAGTGGACATAGGACTTGCTTCCTTAGCATCCGAACCACTTTAAAGCTCCTTTCTTATTGCATTTGCTCTCAATTCTCTTACTTTCATGTGTGCTTTCTGGGCCAGCTCAGCATCTCACATATGCGTTTCGTTGGTGTCAAAATCATGCATCAACAATGATGATTACTTGGTGATGATGAGTGGTGATCAGAGAGGAATATAAACCAGAAGAAGGTGAAGAAGAGGAAGACTGAAATGAAGAAAAGGAGAAGAGTTCTCATTTATGTTGCCATGGATCAAGGAGAAACGAAAGAGAAGACCATGAAGTCTTCTTCCTAGACTGAAGCATACGTCTATATAATGATAAATATGTGACAGTTTGACTTAGAAATTTCTTTCATTTGCAATAGTTTGATTCATATCTTCAATATTACTGGTTTGACTTAGAAATTTGATAAATAATTTTCTTAAATAAGATGGCGTTTCTTAGTTTGATTGTGGATCCAATAGAATCAACTGTCTCTTTTTTCTCTCTGACGGTTTTTTTTTTTTTTTTTGGTGTGATCGGGATTGTTCGGATCAGTTTGTACGCATCTCAATTAATTCTTTGGATCCTAAAGTAAACAACTAGATAAATCTTCCAGTAATCATCTCTTTTAATATATGGGGGATTCGAACTTAGAAACCCATGGTAGACCATTTTGCTTTTTTGTCCCTGAATTTAAGCAGTTCAAATCTTTCCTCTGCTCCTTCGTTATTAGCTTTACATGGATGAAAGGGAACTTTTAGTAAACCCCCACTGATTACGGAAATTAAACACAGCCCCCATTTTTACGTTCCGTGACTTCCGTCTATTATTGATTCCGTTTGGGTGAAGGGTAATTTAGTAAATTAGTAGGACCTAAAAAATATCTAGTGTTAAAAAAAATATTAAACTAAAACAGTGTTTGTGTAAAACTACCATATATTCACCCAAAACATGTAAGCAACCCACAGCCAAACAGCCAGAGCCAGACGAAGCGTTTTGCGCGAAAAGCGACTTGACGGAGAAGCTTCGTCCCCGACCGAGTCCGGTTGTTGAATGCGAGGTTATTTGGCTGTGGACCAGGGGTTGAATCTCTCTGTTAATGAAGAACAAGTTCGTTTAAGATTTGAGATGAAAAAGAGAAAAATTCATTCTTTGTTTGTGTTTTATCTCTGTATTGCGTTTGAGTGTGCTTTCTGTTCGTATTGTATAAAAAAATCTAATTTATTTCTTTAATCTTGATGAATAGCCACTGTGGTCAAATTGAGTTGCAATTTTACCAGAATGTTCATGATTAAGCCTCTTCATTTTGAACGTTGGAGATTGAATTTGAAGCAAGTTTGTTACAGTAAATCGTGCATGAACAGAAACTACATTTTGTGAGATTTTTTGTTATTTTGATATATGAGGGTTTGACTCCAGGAAGTATTTATTTTTGAGACTGGGAAGTTTTGTCTCTAGTCAAACTAGAGAAGAACATATAAGTTTATTGATTAGTGTAATTGGAATTGTATACGGAGAGTAATTTTGTATTATATATTACGCTTTATTAAATTGTTTCTTAGTAGATTCACACAATGAGGTAGAATTAGTGCTCTTTTACCCATCACTAAAGTCTACCACCACGTCAAGAATGATAAGGAGTTGGATTTCGCTTGCATGTGGTCGATGAGAGAAATCGACCAGAGGTACATTTCTATATTCTGGTGGAACCACCTGAATTTTTTATTACTCGAAGTCCATCACCGTCGGTCCGTCACCACCTTTGGAATGAACATACAACCATCCCAAATGATAATAGGTAAGTTACAGATGGCCCATGGTTTATACGTGCTTCCTTAATAAAGGACAGGCCAAAAAATTTCTGCTTGTTAACTGGTCCTCAACTTGGTGGATCAATATCAAGCCGTCGTGGAGATTAGAATAATGATTGACGTCGAAGTTAATGTTTCCCCCCTGAGATATCAATAAATAATCATTTATCCATTTGTATTTCCTTAGGGTTTTACTGTTTAATCTAATGAATTAAGTATAATATGTATTAGTCAAATGATGAAAATACTAACAAAACAGTGGTTATAAGGAGTAAATTGTTTATGTCAGATATTTGTAGGGGAAATTTGTTATTCAATGATACCTTGGAGGGAAATTATAGTAAACTCCGAAGTTACGAAGGTACAGTTGAGAATCATCACTGATTAACAAGTTCATAAGACACAAAAACATACTTTTAATAATTAAAATTTATTATTCCATTGCCACAGAATAGGAGGAACTACAGAGACAACAAGAACTCCCGAGTTCCATTTCTCAGTTTTCTCCATTCAGCTTGTAAATTTCATGACTCTGCCAAGCGGTCTAAGTCTGTAAGTCTGACTAAAATTAGTACTTTACATGGAATTTTAGGTGCAGGCTCCTCAATTTTTTCTTCTTTCGCATCATTTTCTGTGTCCAAGACCAAGAAGATCCAACGTAAGTTCGTAGAACTGCTCTTTACATTATAATCTGTCGGACCCTTCAATTTTTTGTCATCTTCCTTAAATTCCCCAACAGTCATGTCCATCCCACCATTTTGATTCTGATTAAGGGTGTTTTTTTCTGTTTCCTGCAACCTTTCATGTGATTTTACCATGGCAAACTCCTCGGCAGACTGCGTGAAACGTTGATATGGACTAATATTGATAAAACTAGCTTGAGTAGGTTCAACCTTCCCAAGGGGCTTCTCGTCTGATCTTGTTGGCGCCTCGTCCTCTACAGGAGCATTCTCAAGAATCGTGATCTTTACGTAGAATCTTACAGGCTCTTGAAGCTCCTTCAATGGAGCATGAAACTTCGTTTCAGGTTCTGCTCTATACTCTGACGAGCCCGTCAAATCTCTTTCGAAGGCAAACTCCTCGGATGATTGCTTGAAAGGTTCCTCATCAGACGTTGTGTCGTCCAGATTAATCTCGGTAGACTGCCCAGAAGTTCGAACTGGATACAGATGATCAACTCCAGGTTCAGTAGGAACAACCTTCCAACTGATCTTCTCGTCCGATCTTCTTGGCGCCTCGTCCTCTACTGGAGCATCCTCCAGAGTCATGAACTTTTCGTAGGATCTTATAGGATCTTGAAGCTCCTTTAATGGGGCATCAAAGTTTCTCTGATCTTCATCATCTTGGCACTTCGTAAGCTTTATCTTCTCAGTCTTTCTGGTCTCTTCAGGTAACCAAATTTGTTGATCAACATAAAAATCTTCTATGAAACCGTAGTAGAAGAAATATACCGTAGGATAATTCCCAATCTTGTACTTCTTTGCCAACAGCTTTTCTTTTTCAGCATCCACTTTGGCAACCACCAAATTGCCCTTACGTTTCATGGCCGCTGCTGAAGATTTTGGTGACAGTCTCTTTCTCCAGAAGTACTGTGACGAGTAAAAAACCACCATTACATGCTGATTCTTAGTGATGAAGTTGCTGAAATTCTTCTCAGTCAATACCACCATTTTTTCTTCACTGACAAGCACCGGACGTGGAGATTGAATCTTGCGATTGAAGATTTGAGTTAAGCCCATAGCAGGATATACATCTTCATTGTTTCGTTTCGATGAGTAGAAGACGAGATTGAGATTTGGCAGAAGAATTATATTGGGTTGTTTGGGTGATACCATGTATTGTGAGAGAGGTGTAAATTTGATAAGACATAAGAAGAGAAGGATTGAAATGTAGAGAAAGAGAAGAGGCCTTGTTGATGCCATTGTTACTCAAAATCAAACACCAGTGAAAGGATATATACAGTAATGGATTATGATGACAATTTAATTAAATAAATAGAAGATTTGAAATACTTAAAAACTCTGGCGATGAAACCTAAATCACATTAGTAATAATTGATAAGATAAATAATACAGACCTCATTGTTGGCTTTTTCAAAGAATATTATTTACATTAATTGGCGGTGACAAAAACAAGATAACTCTATTCGGGCATCACAATCTGTTGAAGGCAATTGCTTTCAACTGCTTGTAATGTCGTTTTGTTCAGGGCAATTTAGCATACCCAGATAGAAATGTTGCTGCTTCTTGCATTGATCTGTTCTCTGAAATTAGATCAACTCAGAAGAGGCTAATTGAGGTCAAACAAATTAGCTGATGGGATCAGCAATAATTAGAGTATACAGTTTGGAAAAAGAGAATTTTAATGATGAAATTTTAGAATCATTCTATGAAACCATGGAGTGAATCATACAAGGGAAATAGGACCATTGAATCAGGATTATTTTATCTTCATTTAGAAATTTACATAACGAGCATTTAATTTGTTCTCTACTATACTAGAAATTTGTCCCACATCATGGTAGCGTGTACGGCTAGGGTCCAAACCCCTCATCGCCTTGTACCATGATAAATGAATTTTGGGTACTTATTCTCAAAAACGAACTCAACGAAAAAGGGTGCTCAATCATATATAGACATCAAATAGTTCAATAACTTGACGACGTGAGACAAATTTAACTTTTAACAAAAATATCTTCAAAATGATCTTAAATCAAATTAATACATTTTCTGGGCTTGTTATATGTGAATTTTTGTTATTTGAAATAACTATGATATAACATCAATGCATTAAAATAATTAAGAGAAATGATATTCAAAATAAGATTGCGAAATTTTTAATTGAATTCAGTTACTGAAGTTACAGGGTACTTCTTAATCTGAATAACTTCAACCAAAAAGTATTTCAGAAGAAAACTATTTTCTAATAAATCCAGCCAATTTATAGTTCCAAAAGAACAAATTTAGTCACTGTTCTTCGAATGGCCAGAAAGAATTCTGTCTCTGAAATTGTAACAGCTTGGCCTGAAAGCTTGTCTTCAATGAAATTATTTCCAAATGACTGCATCATAGAAAGGGTTATGAACATTTACCTATAAGCATGTATCAGAAATCTTCATATTGAAAATTTCACAGGCAAGATCGACGTAGCAAAAACAGTACCTGTTTCGTGGAGGACTCACGGGAAAATTCTACCATAGTAAAAGCATTCACTGGAGGAATCTTATTCACGGATACGAAGTAAGCTATTTCTGATTTGGTGAATGGTCCATCTGGAGAAATTATGAAACGATGAAATACGTCATGTAAATTACAAATTGGAAGCCCTCAAACTATAAACTAAAGAGATCAAGTTAAACTAACTAAAGTGGCTAAGATGTTGAGACTCCTTTTCCAGCAAGATTAGAGCAGGGCATTTGATTTCTGGGTTATGCTGAAATCTCCTTGCAAGATTAGCACTAGCAGTTTGATAAAATATAACATCAGGATGCAGTTTCGAGGCGGCAACAAGCTCCTCAGTTTCCAGGCCCTAACATTATAGTCATAAGCAATAAAATTTAGTGACTTAAATGATAAAAAGTCTCCGCATTTATAGTGTTTTACGCTATATGGAGTAACGTTTATGAATTATTGAAGAAATTTTTAGTTTTTTAATAATATAATATTATTCCAACTTATAACAGAAGCGTTGGAGGAACAGTCAAGCAATTCAAGAATTTCCAGGAAACTAAGAGCTTGCTCTGTAAATAATGGAGCTAAATGGTGAGTGTATACCTGTAAAGAGTCAAGAAATGCCAAAACTATTGTGGATTTGGACATGAATACTTCTTCTAATTGCTCTGCCGTCGTTATATTGTAGACACCAAGACCCATCTGAGTCTTTGCCCACTTCATAATAGCATCCCTTCAGGAAAAAAAAAAAAAAATACATCTACAAGCATGTCAGGAACTTGCTTGAATATGGAAAATAGATTGGTTCCTTTCCAGTGACTTCACGAAAAATCATTGTTTTTATCTTAAACAGATTTAAAAGGTTAATTATAGAACAAAAACGAAGAAGAATTCCCTGACTTGAAAAATCCGAAAGAATCAAGCCAATGAAAAACTCACCTCTTCCTTACAAAATTACAAGGATATACATTCACTCCACCAACGAAGAAATAACAAGTTGGATACCACTTAATTCCATAATTCTTTTCCAACCCTTTTTCTTTATCAGCATAGACTTTCGCTAGCACGACCTCACCCTTCAGCTCCCTGGCAGCTTCTGCGTATTCTGGGGCCAATTGCCGGCACGCAGGGGACCATGATGCAAGAAATGCCACCATAACATACCGATTATTGGCAAAAAAATGGCTAAGACTCTCCTCGCTTAGTACTGTTACCATTTCAACAACTGGAGGAAAGTTCTTCATCATTTGATCGTCGAGAACATTGTGAACAACATCTAAACGTTTGTCAGGATTCCGGGAAAAGATGTGAGTATTTGCCGCCGGGATTGCTATAGCCTGAGATCCATAGTTACGCGCTTGATAAGCAAAATATTTGTCGGTTAAATAAGGTGAAAGCAAGTGAATGGTGAAGAGAAGAAGAGCTATTGTATAGAGAAAAGCATCTGTTTTCGTTGGCATTGTTGAGTTGAAACCAGGCAGTACGGAGACAAGGCAAAGTTTGAGAAGAACATAAAAAGGAAGACTATAAAATTGTCTAGCTATATCAGCAGCCGGCCTGGAAACGTATGATCAATTTTCCATAATGACAAAAATCCATCGTTCTAGCCCATAAAATAGATCATTTTTATTAAAATAAAGAAGTTGTTATCAATGATCATATCAGCTTGTGGTGGATTGTTTACTCTTAAATTGTCTTTACCGTTAACTGCAATGGATTCATCGAGAGTTTGTGATTGTGAAGTATATAGCCAGACAGGAAGATCTGACACAACCATTAATGCTCTTGAAGTATCTAAATTGTCAGTGGTGACAAAATCAATATATAAGTCTAGGTTTTGAAGCCAAAATTTTCACTTTCAATGGGTTGTAATTGGGCACAAAAGCATCTTAAATTTTCTCAATTAATAATTCAGATCATAAAGATCTTTGATCAAATCAACACAATTATCCGGGCTAGTTATATGTAAATTTTTGTTATTAGAAATGAATAACTATAATAAGACATCAAGGCATAAAAATAAAGTGAAAAGATTTACAAAATAAGATTCTGAAATTTCTTAATTCAAGTCGATGGCAATTACATGCAACATTAAGGCATAAAGAGTTACAGAAGAAAAGTCTTTTCAAATAAATGGAGCCAATTTATAGTTACAAGAGAATGAGTGTTAGTCACTGTTCTTCAAATGGCCACAATGAATTCTGTCTCTGAAACTGTAACATTTTGGCTTGAAAGCTTGTCTTCAATGAAATTCTCCCCAAATGACTGCATCTCCGAAGAGTTATGAGCATTTAACTATAAGCATGTATCAGAAATCTTCATATTATGAGGAAAAAAAGAAAGGACAGCATTTTGAAAAGTTCTCAGGAAAGATCAATGAAGCTAAACTAGTAGTACTTGTTTTTGTGGAGGACTCAAGAATCACGGGAACTTTTAGCGTAGTAAAAGTATTTACCCAAGGAATCTTACTCATGGATACGAAGTAAGCTATTTCTGATTTGCCGATTTGGTAAATGGTTCATCTGAGAAATTATGAAAAGAAGAAACAGGTTATTTAAGTTATAAATTTGAAGCCCTCAAACTATTAACCATGGAGATTTAAAATACAGGCTGTCAGGAAATCAAATATAGAATACAGGTTGGCATTGTTGAGTTGAAACCGGAGAGTACGGAGAAGGGAATGTTTGAGAAGGACATAAAAAGGAAGACTGTTATGAAATTGCCTAGCTATATGTGAGCAACCGGCCTGGCAAAGTATAGTCCAGATTCCATAGTGACAAAATCCACCTCGCTAGCCCATAAGACCAATGTCAATGTCTTTGTGAAGCACTAACTTTTGAGAGTCTTTTTCTGATTTCTGTTTGTTGCCAGATTTCATTACAAGAATGCTAGGAGGTCTTGGAGTTCATATCGAGCAGCAGTCTTTTCACTTAGCTTGTGGAGGATTGTATATTTCTAAATTGTACTTACCCTAATTCTAATTGATTCATAGAAAATTAGTAAAGAATATAGGCGGAGGGGAGATCTGACAGTGACATTGATGCTTTTGCACAATTGTTTCTTGCAGTCTCAACAAATGATCAAACGGCTCACAGACTCAGAACACTATGCTAGTTCAACCAGGATCTTGATATATACTTTAGATGATTTATTGTGTGAGATCCTAGGTTTTAACAATAATTCCCGATTAGATAAATTCATCAGATCATCAAAAAGAGACATATGAAGGAATTAAGAATTTTAATTGCTATATCAACATTAAAACGAGAGGAACATCCTTTTGAGTTTTGACTCACTGTAAAGAATTTCATCAAAGTTCATTACAGAAGACCACTCTTTCTGCATCCAGCTTTTTGCAGTCCATGAAAGGAATTTGTATCAGATGCATGAGAATCATTATTAGTTATTGTTGTAATGATGAAAGTCTAAGTACTGTCTCTGAAATTGTATCAGACTATGACTTCAAAGTTTGTCTTCCATCAAATTTCTCCGCAAATGACTGCAGGATAGAAGTAGTAACAAAAATAAAGGAAATTAATGATATTCATATTTTGGATATATATTTGGAAGTAGCAACATTATTAGTACCTGTTGCTTGAAGGGCTTGAGAATCAATGGAGCATTTTCAATAGTCGATGTGGTCATCGCTCTCAGGAGGAAGCTTATTCACATATACAAAGTTGGCTATTGCATATTTGGTGAATGGACCATCTGAGAAATGATGCAAGGATAAATAAGCTAATAATGTACAATACTAATTTGAAGCCCTCAAAACTCAAAGAAGAGAAAACTAACAAAAGTGGCTAAGATGTTGAGACTCCTTTTCCAGCAAGATTAGAGCAGGGATTTTGATTTCTTGGTCAAACTGAAATGCCTTAGCAACATCAACAGCGGTAGTTTGATAGAAAAGAACATCAGTGTTCATTTTTGAGGCAGCAGCAAGTTCCTCAGAGTCCTGGCCCTAAAAGTTTAGTCTTAAGATCTGATATTAATTCAGTGACTAAATGATAGAAGACTTAGCATGCGAGAGATCTCAACTCTGAATTGATGAACTTTAGAGTTGAAAAGAGCTAAAATAAACACACCAATAACGGAAGTGAATGGTTAGCGTGTACCTGTAAAGAGTCCATGAATGCCAAAACTGTTGTAAATTGAGCCATCAGTAGTTGTTCTGCTTGCTCTATTGATGTTATGGTGTAGACACCAAGAGCAATCTTAGTCTTTGTCCACTTCACAATGGCATCCCTTCAAAACAAACAGAACCATGTAATCAGCAATGCATTTAAGCATGAAAAAATTTCTTTTATGGGTACATTATTTTCTCAAGAACCAAACAGATTTTAAAATATAACTAAAAGAAATAGGATTTCAAAACCAAACCAATCCAAAACTTCACCTCTTCCTAGCATTGGTATAACTATCTATCTTCACTCCACCAGCAAAGAAATATACATTTGGATGCCCCTGAGCTCTATACTTTCTTTTCAACCCTCTTTCCTCATAAGCATTAACTTTTGCCAGCATCACCTTGCCCTTCAGCTGCCTTGCAGCCAGTGCATATTCTGGAGCCAATTGCTGACTATAGTAGCTCCATGGTGCAAAAAAGTCCACCATAACATACCGATTATTGGCAACAACATGGCTAAAATTCTTCTCACTTAGTATCACCACATCTTTTTCATCGGTAAGTTGAAGCAAGGAGTTCTCTTGATCAAAATTTAGAAGATAGAAAGGTGAAAACCAGTGAATGGTGATAAGAAGAAGAACTATTGTGTATAGGATGAGAAACACTTTTGTTGCCCTTGGCATAGTTGAATTCAAACCAAGCAGTGTTCACAAGGGAGTGTTGAAAAACAACTTGAAAAGGAAGACAAGAAGAAGAAGAAGAATGACAATGATGTTGACTATATAAGCAGCCGGCCTTGAGTGCTGGCATCATCTTGACAAACATTATCCGTAATGACAAAATCCAGCATCTCTAGCCCATAAAACCAATGTCAATTAAAACAATAGAATTCAGCATTAATAAGACTTGGCACTTTGCAACTTTGTTTATTTTCAGGGTCTTTGGGCTATCACTGAATCTTATAAGCAATGGATTCCTCTTTTTTCTGTTAAATACACTTCCTATATGGTTTTTGGTAGTAATCTTGACATCAATATGGAAATCCTTGATCACATTATGATCATAGAGAATTTCTGTGGCAACATCGATGCTTGTTGACTATTATTTATCTCTTGGTTTCTATTTTTCCATTCAGTCTCACAGGGCTCTCAGATTTTCTTGGTTATCAGATGGATGAGAACATATGCTATACCAATTTAGATATGGAACTTGAGACATAATTGAATTATCTAATCACAAGTATCGTTGTTATTACATGATTTGATATAAATAATTTCATCAAAGTTCATTAATGGAGACCATCGTTTTTGTTCATTCAACCACTTTGTAGTCCAAGGCAGGAAGTTGGATCAAATCACAAGATTCCGTCACGGTATGAGGTGTAAGAAGTGTTTCTGAATTGTATAAGACTGGCTTGGAAGCTTATTTTCCATGAAATTCTCTGCAAATGACTGCAGGAGAGAGAAGCAATGTCAACATTTATCTGTATTCATGTATCAGAAATCTTCCAGGCTTAATTGGAGAAAGAAAAAATTTAAGGAAACTATTGAATAGACAAACGTTTTTTGAGACAAGGAAGCGCTTGAACAGAGAGCACTGAAAGTATTTCCTAAAAGCACCAGAAATTCTTCCAGTCGTTTGATGGAAATGCTTCTAACAAGAACAATTTCTACAAAAACATCCCTAACTGATGTGGAAAAAAGAATACTAACCTTTATATTGTTTATACTCGGTTCATCATTTAGTACATACTTCTTGCCATTGGAGTTGCCTGAGTAAGATACATCTGCACATAAATTAAAAGCATCTTAAATCCTAATTCATCTTTACTTAGTTCTTGCAGCCTAGGAGAGAAAGAATGAATTTCTCAAATGCACGAAATCAAAACTAAAATCTATTAAAAAGTAATAATATAGTGAAAAGGAACCAAGGTAAAGAAACTCACTCTTGGTCCTGTCGGAGTATGACCTGTAATTCCAAAATCATGAGCAATTTGTTACCAGCACCTTCGCCATCCATTTGCACGTACACAAACAGAAGCTGCAGGAGAAAATATTTGCCTTTACAGACGCCATTTACATCTTGTAGATAGAAAAGGAACAACAGGAGTTCTTAGAATGGAAAACTTCATTGCATGAACAGCTTCATATGGCTATAATGTCTTGCTATAACATGATTAACTGATAATACTTAGCCTTCTTAATTTGAAACTTCCCAAGACTAAGATATGCTATCAGTCTATTCCTTGCAACAGATTATAATTCAATAGCATTAAGTTATCAAGGGTGGTAAATATATTTAGTGTCAACAGTTTAAAATGGACAAGCTGATGACTAGTCTTGAGAAATTAACAAATATGTGTAGATCTCTATAATTACCTTTCCTCTGAAAGCTTTGGCTACCTCTTGAAATATTGATCTCACCTCGGAATCATGTATAAGGGCGAAAAGCCATAACTGAGAACAAATTTATAGACGTGTTAAAATCATAAATTCTCGGAATTCCTAAGGAAAGATACCACAACAGTACCTGTTTCATTGGGGCCTCAAGAATCAAGAAAGCATTTTCATCAGAGAAGGTGGTGACAGGAGGAAGCTTGTTCACAGATACAAAATCAGCTATTGCATTTTTGGTGAAGGAACCATCTGAGAAATGAATAAAGTAACATTAAATTATGAAGCTGAAGCCCTCAAATGATTGAGATTTAAGATGTTGGGAAAACTAACTAAAGTGGTTAAGATCTTGAGCCTCTCTTTCCAGCAAGATTAGAGCAGGGCGTTTGATATCTGGCTCAATCTGAAATATCTTTGCGACATCAGCACTAGTAGTTTGATAGAATATGACATCAGTATGAAGATTTGAGACGGCTGCAAGCTCCTCGCTTTCCAAGCCCTAAGAATATGACTATTAGGTGACTAAAATTTCAAACCCTGCACACTATAGACAATGGTATAATCAAGAAAATCTACTAAGACAATACTCAAGCAATCAAATAAGTTCAGGAAAAAGGAGCTTTCTGTGTAAATAATGGGACTAATTGAGATTAAATTATTGTGATATGATATCCATCCTTGTACCTGTAAAGATTCAAGGAGTCCCAGAACGATTGTATATTCTGCCATCAGTAATTGTTCTGCTTCCTTTGTTGTCATTATAGTGTAAATACCAAGTTCCACCTTAGTCCTTATCCACCTCACAATATCATCCCTTTAACAAAAAATAATAATTTTGTAAGCACCCCATGATGATTTTTTTTCCCTTGTGTTCTTTTCATTTTTCATATCTTTCTCAACAACCAAACAGATTTAGAATATTACTAAAAGAATGAGAATTCTGAAACCAAACCAATATTCAAAGGACTCACCTCTTCCTTTTATGGTAATAATTCTCCACCTTCACTCCACCAACAAAGAAAGATACAGTTGGAAACATATCAATTTCATACTTCTGTGCCAAGAATGTTTCCATATCAACATCAACTTTTGCTAGCACCAATTCACCCTTCAGTTCCATGGCAGCTTTTTCATATTCCGGAGCCAACCGCTGGCACCAGCGACACCATGGTGCATAAAAGGCCACCATCACATATCGATTTTTGGCAACAACATGGCTGAAATTCTTCTCACTTAGTACCACAACAGCTTTCTCATCAATAACTGGAGGCAGTGTCTTCTTTAATTTATAAACATTCCGATGAATATGTAGACTTCCAGGATGATTTAATTTGTAAAAGTACATGATTGAAAGCATAAGAATAAATGTTGTGCAGAAAAGGATTAAAACTTTTTCTGTTGACATTTTTTGAGTTGAAACTAAGTATGAAACAAAGTATTGTTGGAGAACAGCCTAAAATGAAAGACAGGGTGAAGAAAAAGACTTATGGAGTTGACAAAGTGAGCAGCCGGCCGGACAAGGAATTATCCAAAATGACAAAATTTACATCTGTGGCCTGTAAACTCGATGTCTCTGTCTCTGCGAAGCATTAAAATGCGTTTCCATCGCTCTCACTTCGTTTATTTCCCGGCTTTTGTTGACTTTCAAGTTCTCCCAATTAATCGCTTGGGTGCGTTTCTTTCTATTTCGGTTATTGCGAGTTAAGGATTTAAAAATTAACAAAAATATCACTTAATTTTGTTAATTTACTAAATAATTCTGTAATAAAATATTAAAAATTAACAAAAATAATCATATTTATCAATTAAATACTAGCAACAAACCACCACCGTTAAAGGGTGATTGGAGTGTCACCGTATTGTCGCACGATCAGTTAGATCTTTTCAGTCGTGTGTCGATATAGTCTGTTCCAATCAGATCTATCATGGATCTAGCTAGAAAAGATTAGATTTACGATTAGATATAGCCGTCAACAGCCAAATCTGGCCGTAACCAAAGATCTGGTCATCAATAGCCAGATCTTTGGCTGTAGATTTGACATTTTTCAACCAAATCCACGGTAGATCTAACTAAAAAAGGTTGGATCCAACCAATAGTTCGCCATTATAACAGATTTTGGCCGCATGCAGCGATGGTGGCCGGAATCTGGCAAATGTTGGTGGATGGGGGTGTTTTTGTCAATTTCTATACTTTTTTGTGTTTAATTAAATTAACAAATCTAGGGGGTTTAAAAAGAATTAAATAAAACAAAATAGGATTTTTAGAATGGGGAAATAAATGTATATTTTGGATAGGATAATACAAAAATACTATGTTTGTTTTATTATTTTTCCCTATTCTATTATTATCTTATCCAAAATACATATTTGTTTCTCTATTCTTAAAATTCAATCATATTTTATTTAACTATTTTTAACACTCTTAAGTTTGTTAATTTTTAATGTTTTATTATAGGAGGTATTTAGCTAAATTAACAAACTTAAGGGTGTTTAGAAAATTAACAAACCTAAAAAAAATTTTATTATTTTCAAATCTTTTTAATAACAACCCAATTCAATTTTTTCAAAAATACTACAAAAAATAATGATAAACTTAACACAAAAGTTAAAAATTCCCTAAACCCCACGTACTTTTTGAGTATTTTTCTCTTTTGTTAAAGGTTAAAACCTTTTTTATTTTGGTTTTTTTCTTTTTTATTCTTTCCTCATTCCAACCTTAAAAAGATACTGCAGCAACCAGGGAGGTTTTTCTTCGCTGACGACAAGGTGGTGTCGTGTCACAGCTGAGATTGGGGGCCAGCATGGCCGCTTCACGGCCTGACGCTTGCAGGTGACCTGAGCAACCACCACAAGCACCGCCGCTACGATTATAAAGGTGGTTTGCTGACTATTCGGCTTATGTAAAGGGGAGGATGGAGATTGGAGAAAGTGTATGGCCAAAATAGTTGGAGCTTGAGCCAAAGATATAGCTGGATAGTGATGGGGTATTTGTGTTGTGTGATCAAGTTTAAAGTTCTTGGGTTTCATTCTGGATCAGGATGTGTCTAGGAAGGAGATGGTTTAACTGTAAATGAACTTCATTGCACCTGCGGTGGTGATTTAATCTTTACCCGTTACGAGTTGCCGTCGATGGAGTCCAGACTCCAGATTCCATAAAAGACTTCCGCATAATTATCATAGTTCCTATTTGATCCCTAAAATATAATGACAAATGTCATTTTTAACCTTTTACCGCTTGTTTGATCCCCCAACGTTAGGCTCAGAGATGGTGAGTAACTGATTTTCAAAACGTTAGGGTGGTTCTTGAAATTATTTATCATGTCATGATGATAATTGATAAACACATCTGATTGAGTAAGAAATTTAATCAGTGAAACATCTTTTCTGAGTTTGACTTGGTTCAAATAATTTCATCAAAGTTTATTACAGAAGGCAACTCTTCTGTACATATCCCGCGCTTTGCAGTTCAGTGATTGAAGAAGGTTGGATGAGATGCATCAGAATCAGTACATGGAGTCACAGTTCCAATGATGGAAGTTGAAGAAGAGTCTCTGAAATTTTCAGACTCGCTTGAAAGATTGTCTTCTAGGAAATTCTCTGCAAATGACTGTACGAGAGAAGAGGAATTAGCATTATATTTTACATTTTCTTGTACTGATTTGGAGTTCCTTCTTGGAGAAGCAGTTAATGACTGAAATAATGCAAATGACTTGGAAGTGTTTCCAACGAAAGCATTAACCTTATTCTATTGTCTTAATGCCAAGGAAAATAGAAAACCAACCTTTATATTGCTTAAGGTCAATTCATCCTTCAATACCAACTTCCTGGCATCGACATTGCCTGTGTAAGCTACAACCTGCATCCAAATGTTCATTTTTTGACTTTGATGGAAAAGTACATGATAATAATCAAATGCATGAAATTAAAAATATGGTGGAACAAAGGTAAAGAAACTCACCCTTGGAGTATGACCTGAAATACCAAAATCATGAGCAATTTGTCTCCTGACACCTTCGGAATCCATTTGCACTTGCGCATACACAAAGAGCAGCTGAAGGAGAATATATTTGCCTTTTAAGCCACCATTTACAACTTGTAACAACAGGATTTTTAAAAATGGAAATCTTCATGTTGCATAAGTAGCTTCCAATATCCAGTAGCATTTATCAAGAGAGGTGATTTTGTATATATAATGTTTCAACAACTTTTGAAATGGACGAGCCAATGACTAGTCTCAAAGAAATCTCTGCAAGTGTAAATCTTTATATAATTACCTTTCCTTTGAAAGTTTTGGCTGCCTTTTGAAATATTGATGTAACCTTCAAATCGTTTGTAAGGGCAAAAAGCCATAGCTGAGAAAAATTTATAGACGAGTTAATTAGACCATAAAATTTTGAAACTTTCCGAGGAAATATGTATCAACTTCATTACCTGTTTCATGGGGGAGTTAAGAATCAAGAGAGCATTTTCATCAGTTAAAGTGGTCACAGGAGGAATTTTATTCTCAGCAACAAATTCGGCTATTGCTGATTTGGTAAATGGACCATCTGAGAGATAATGCAAAGATCAATAAGGTGATGTTGAAGTTGAAGTTAAAATTTGAAGAGTTCAAAACATTAAGATGTTATGAGAACTAACTAAAGTTGCTAAGATCTTTAGCCTCTTTTTCCAGCAAGATTAAAGCAGGGCGTTTGATTTCAGGGTCAATCTGAAATGTCTTTGCAACATAAACACTATCAGTCTGATAGAATCTGACATCAGTATGCAGTTTCGAGGTGGCAGCAAGCTGTTCACTCTCCAGGCCCTAAAATTAAATAGTCATTGGAATAGAAGCCTTTACATACTACACAATCATGCAATCAAGAAAATTTTCATCATTCATGAATCAGTGAGGAGTTTTGGAGTGCAAAAAGTGCTAAAATTCAAGAACTTAGGAAAAAAGAGCTTGAACTAAATGGTGATTAAATTACTAAGATATGATATCTACCCTTCCTCAATGTCCATAGGTAAATTTGTACCTCTAAAGAGTCAAAAAATCCCAAAACAATTGTAGATTCAGCCATAAGTAGTTCTTCTGCTTGCTCTATAGATGATATAGTGTAAATACCAAGGTCCACCATAGCCCTTGTCCAGTTTGCAATAGCACCCCTTCAAAATATAAACATGTCAGAAACAGATTTTTGAGCATTCAATAGTTGAATCATACCTATAAATCAGATTGCTTCTCCCCATTGAATCATATTTTATGCTATATATGTACTTTCATTTTTTCTCATCAACCAAATAGACTTGAAATATCATTAAAGAAACAGAATAATGAATCCAAACTAATCAAAATACTCACCAGCTTTTGTTACCGCCATTGTAAATTTCCACCTTCACTCCACCGGCAAAGAAACATATAGTTGGATATGCAAGAATTTGATACCTCTTAAGTGCCAACTCTTCTTCCTTACTAGAATCGACTTTTGCCGTCACCACCTCACCTTTTAGCTCAGTGGCAGCCAGTGCATATTCCGGGCTGAGTTTCCTGCTCCAGTGGCACCATGGAGCATGAAAATTCACCAACACAAACTGATTATTGGCAACAAAAGAGCTAAAATTCATCTTGCTTAATACCACTACGTCTTTTTCATCAATAGCTGGAAGCGAGTACTTCTTTTGATCATCGAAACTATTGTGAAAAATACGTGAATATTTATCAGGGTAGCTGGGAAAGATGGATGGATGTTCCTTAACGAATGAGATATGTAGTGCATAACCTCCAGCATAATCTACTTTATGAACATTGAACTGCAAAAGCCGGTAAATAATGAAGAGAACAAGCACTGTTGTATAGAGAAGGAGAAAAGCTTTTGCTGCTCTTGACATTTTTGAGTTGAAAGCAAGCAGAATGGACAAAAGAGGGTTGGAGAAAAACATAAAGGTAATAGAAGAAGATATCAGCAGCCGGCCTTGAGGGGTGAAATCTGTAATTTGGTAAAGTAAATTCTTGAAATTTTGTGATACTTGATTGGAGAGTACTATTATTGTTCAAATGCAAATTTTTTACTGATTTTATGGCCTATGAAATCTTAGACTAATCTCAGGAAAATGATAATTAATTGCACAAAGTCTTGAATTTGAATCTTGAAGACTTATGGACTTGAATGCTGATTTATTTTATTTTTGTGGTAAATCTTTTATGCAGACAGGTGAAAGAATCAATAAGTCACACCGTTAGCTTGGAAAGGAATTATCCAAAGTGACAAAATCCACATATCTAGCCCACAAAACCAATGTCTTTTTTAACATCGCCATGTCAAGCATCAATATAAGTTTCCGTTTTGTAACTTTTCTTTGGTATTGTCAATGAATCTTGAAAGCAAAGGATTTTTTTTCTGATACCTTTCCTTATGATGAACCGCTTGAACATTCTTTTATCATAATTCATGATATTTTCTTGTCGACTTCCATGTTGAAGCATCATTATATGTGCATGTAAGAAGTTGTTTATGAAAACTCAATCATTCAAGAAATAATTGCAGGATAAAAAGGCGTAAGGTACCGCTATGAATATGAGGATGTTTTTATCACTTGCTGGAAGTATGAACTGCTCCAATTAGTTCTTTCTGGATCAAATCCAATATTCCTGAGACCTGCAGAGTAGTACCTATTAAAGCCAAAATCTAGCAGAGAAACAAGTGACAGATACCAATTACAAGCATATATGTTATGATATGAAGTTGATAGTTGCATCAGAATCCTGTATTATGAAACAATTTTTTGAGATTATATCATTGCTCACATCAAAATATTGTTGCAACACAGTTGAATATTGATGCAGTGTCATGTAAATCTTCTCAAGTACCCCTAATTGTACATCCACTTGATCGCCGAGCAGATCTACCTACAGCTCAAGAAACATAATAAAGTGTTAAAACAACCATACATAACAGGATTTTCAAAAAAAAAAATTCTGAGAATGTTGAAGTAAAATGATTTTTTATAACCTCATTTTCAGCCTTTTGGAGATTCTGGCATCTAATGACAAAAGCCTTCCTGTAGAGCAACTCCCTTTTTCGTATTGCGGTGACAAGTTCAACAAGTGAATCTAATTGATGTTTCATCTCTTCTAACCTGTTTGAAATCAGCACAGAAATCTGCTTAAGGAAATTGATGCCTGAAAAAGTGTATTGTTTTGTTGTTTCAACACTTCAATTTTTACAGAATATAATCCTTGCAACATCATATAAATAAACAGAAGATAACAGAATCATATGAAAAAGCAAATGAATAAGTATGATCTTCACTTTCAAATTTCATATGGAATAAATTAAAGTTAAGAGTACCTCACAACATTGTTCCCTAATTTTTCATGTGCTTGGAGCTCAAAATCCACAAATACTTGTGAAAATCCCAGTATGGGTGTAAAAACAGAATCATATTGAATTTTAAGAATATCTTGGTTAATTTTTTGTTGGCAACTGGAAGACTTTCCCCCATCTATGATATCTGTTGGACTTATCTCATGATGAACAATTTCTTGGTCGCTAACTTCTGCGTCGAAACTAGGTTCCATCTCACTCAATATTGTCTTACTCGTAGATAACTGTTCTAGAGCTTGCTCAAGTTTGCTTCTCACTGAAGTGAAAGTAGTTTCATCCTCATTCAAAAATTCATGAAAGATCTCATTTTCATTAAGCTCTTCAGTTTCCAATTTCACCAGGTCGACTTCCGCATTGTAGTCCTTCATTTCTGAACTTTTACTTGACAATAGCCCTTCCTCTTCTTCTAAAGACTTCAGTAACATATCCAGTTTTTCAATCAAACTCTCCTCTCCACTTCCAGAAATTTTGGCAATAGGGGTTTTCTCTTGTTTCTTAGCTTCTGCGTCTGCGAAAGTTAGACAAGCGCCTTTCACAGCCTCAACGAAAACAAATTGGTGTATCTCCTCCCTAATGAGATGTTCAATATCACAAGAATCAACCTCCATCTTCCACTCATTCTCCTTCACCGAACATTCGGTATTTTCCTGCCAGTCATCGCAAGATGAGGAGCCATATGTAAAATTCTCAGGAACTTGGACATCTTGGAGTTCCCTTATTGTGTAATTGGCAGTGTTCACAATATCCCTGATGGTCTCATCAAAGACAATCCAAGAAATCTTTTCCCTGAGAAAGTTTTCAGTGCTATAGTTCACTATAATCCCATTCCATTCATTGCACATTTCTTGAAAGAAGACAGCGCATACATCCTCCCTTAAAGTGCATTCATCTTTTACATGTACTAATGCAGACTCCATAGCAGAGCAAAAATTTTCATCTCTCTCAATGTCATAAGCCTGCAATTGAGTGTGAAAATCACTTACCAAACCTTTGAAGATAATTGCATTGGTGTCTTCCATTATCATGGTTAGCAAATTTCCATCTTCCTTTTCCTCTTTCAAAATTGTTATCTCATTTTCTAGTTCTTTATTTGCATTATGAGAAACTGAAGCATTATTCACTTTCTTCCAGACATCTTCCAAACTGTCAATGCCCAAGTTCTCTTCCTTTTCTGCAACAGACTTGGGTATCCTTTTTACCGAAGAAGTTTCCTTCCCCTGATCATTTCCATTCTCTCCAAAAGTTTCAAGCAGCCTAGAATTCCATTTGATTAAATTGTCCATTCTTTCAACAACTTCTTGGATTCTTCTTTTCAAGCTAGCAGGATCCTTTTCTTTTAAACACCCTCTTTCCCAGAACCTTTCTCGCTTCAACCGGTTCAGCTCTTCAGCTTTTCTCCGGATAATAGACTCATGATTCTTTATCATCTTAGCAACTAAGTGAACGCCATCTTCTTCTGGTTCATCTTCGGGTTGCTTATTTTGTCCTACTACTTCAACGTTTGAGGAAAACATATTCACATTCCGCATATTATCACCTTCAGATAAAGACCTTCCTGGCTTGTGAGGAAAATTGAACTCAAGATTGATTCGGTTTGGAGATGCTAAGTTCTCATTTCCTCTGATAGCTTTTGAGTGATCCTCATTTTTATTAATAAGATGCTGAAGCTCATTCCGCAAGCATGTGACCTCTTTCATCAAATCTGATAAATGTTCACTCAATCCCACAAGAACTTGCTTCTCTTGCTTCCTCATTTCCACCTCAAACTTATCCTTAAAATCCTTCATAAAACCTTTGATCAAGATATAAATTGCATCTTTCTCAAGATTCCACCTCCATTCCTGCTCTTGTGGCCCCAACTCGGACAAGAAAATGGCATTCTGCATTTTCCTAAAAGCCTGATCTAAAGTTTCTTTTAAGAAGTTAATGTCATGGCTCATTTGCTCTATCTTTTTGTCATCAATACCTCTATTCCTTTCCTCATCGAGCCTAGGATCCGTCTGAAGCTTTTGCTTTATATTGCACACCTGTTGATCTGCCGAATTCCTCAACTCACAAAATTCACCATCTCTATCCTCATCCCCACTTACGGGACTGCTTCGACTGAATTCCGGCATATGCTCACTCTTCTTTCTTTCAAGCTCAAGTTTCGCGTGCAAAGAAACCACTTCTCTTTCTTTTATTTCCAACGCTTGCCGAAGCTTCAACTCATTCTCTAATCTTTCCATCAACTCTCTATCCTTTTCCGAGATGGCTAGCTCCGATTCCTGCAGACGCCCCAGAAGCCGGTCTCTAGTTTCTGTCAAGTCTGCAAGGACCTTTTCATGGCAGCTTTCAACACAGTAGCTGTCTGCCTCATCTTGAACAAATTTTATACACCCTTCTAGTTGAATTACTGCGAATTCATAGAATTTCGATATCTCATTCAAGCGCTCGATGACACCTTCTTTGGACTTAACTTTTCCATGAGCTTTGTCCATGGCATAGTACACAATCCACATCATAGTTGCATCTATTGTGGAGATTTTGAGACTACCATCCAACAATCCGGAAAAATCTTCCATATCAAACAATCCAATACAGCTTGTTATGAAAGTTTATGCTTGAATTACAACGCAAGTGGTCAAGAATCCTGGAGCAAAATAGAATTGAAATGTGATGTATGATATAGTTCCTGGGAGAAGGAGTAAATGAGACCTCTATTCGCAATTTTTTCCATAAAAAGTGGAGATCCAACTGACTTGTTCAAAGATATTAGATAGTCCACATATTTGATTGAGCCAAGATGGCCTGCTAAAGCTAACTGACCTATATATTCAAGCTTTTTGTCCATGTGAGATGTTTAGGTTCAACTCATAAAGTATCTTCCCTGTAATTATCAAAAAAATCTTCTAAAATATATCAAAGAAAAAATTAATTGATTATGTTTTATAATGTATTTTTGATTGAATTTTGTTAGATTTAAATTAAAGTTGGACTAAACACATAAATTTGTTGGGAGTGTAAAAAATTTGGTTTGGTATGAGATAAGTAATCTGATGAAAGTGGATTAAGAAAATGAAAAAAAAAAAAATTATTTTAGATTAAAAAATAACTTAAGAAATTTTATTTGAATAAAAAAGAAAATTGAAAAAAAAAAATCAGTTTAGCATTCGATTGAAGCACAAAAATGTCATTTCATAACTCGACAGAATTTTGTGAATGAATGCTAACGAAATGGGGGTTATGCTTCTATTTCTGAAAAGAGTGGCGCTTCCTATTGTTTATTAAAACACATGGTGTATGATTTGTTCGAGTCATAAAAGATAATATCGGTAATATATCTTTTAATCTGATAATTACCATATTTTAGTGTTAAGTAATGAAAGATTCTGGTAATCAACCAATACTAACAGTGATTATTGTAGATAATATTGGGTAATTCGATTAACGTCCGAAAGAGTGTTATTTTTTTTATTACCGGGGTAATCCATTGTTCATACCAATTTTACCCTTAATTAATACATATTTTGGACACAAATGCCCTCCTTTGTCTATTAAATAACAATTAGCTCAAATATGCGAAATGACTTCTGTAACCTCATAAATTAATTTTTTGGACATAAATGTCCTCACTATTTACATGAATAATACCCCCAGCCACCCAAGACGATTGTTGGCCATCGGCCAGCACGATTGGTCGCCACCGACAATCACGAGAATGGCGCATGACCGGCTAGATCTGGCATTGTGTGCCGATCTGGCCATTTCCGACAAGAATGGATCTGTTGGCCAACACGGTCGATCAAAACCGATAGTCGTGAAAATGGCGCATGACCAACTGGATATGGCTGACTATGTGCCGATCTGGCCATTTCTGACCAAATCTACAATTGTTAACGACAATAATGGATCTAGACGAAAATGGCCAGATCCACGTCCATTTGGCCGTTTCCAGCCTTCGATCTGGCCGAAAATAGAAAAATCAACGCACAATCAACCAAATCCGATCGGTCGTGCACTGTTTTGATGACTACAGGTGACGACCAGTGGTGGTGGCTGATTGCCGGTAATCGTCTTGGGTGGTTGGGGTAATTTTGTTAAATTTTAAACTTTTGTTGTTGGGGTGTTTTAGCTAAATTTTCAAATATAGAGGGTTAAAAAATACTCTAAATAATAATAATAATATTAAAAGAGAAGGGCAATTCAATAAAAACTACTACAATAATATTGTATTCTTCCCAACCAAACATATTAATTATTTATACTTACCAATCTAATCAAATATATTAATATAACATTCTCTAATAATCTTGAAGGTAATATATTTCAATGGTAATCCTATATTTTTAATAATAAAAAATTCTCCGAACTACTACCATCGGGTTTTCTTCGTTATCTCTGAGGAAAATAATGAATTTAACACTATACCATTTTATAGGGTAAAAAAAAATAAACCCAATTTTCACCACTTCTTTAAAACACGAACTTTAAATGCCACGCGCCACCAGGTCCATCAAAACACATGCAAGTCAGCCATCATTGGCAGCGTTTGACAATAAAAATAAAAATTTTGATATGAATATTTTGGGAGAACGACTTTTCCCCACCCAAGGTATAGCAAAACGATACTTTTCGACCCATTAAGTTTCAAAATGACACTTTATTACCTTTCGTCATGTTCTGTTAACGTTTTTCTTTCTAAAAAAAGGGTAATAGTGTCAATTTACATAAGACACAAAAATTAAAAATTAAAAATTTGAAATCATGGTGAGTGTTGCTGAATGGTTGCCACATCCCACTGAAGTTTGACTTTGAAAAAATGAAAAAGAAGGGAGAACGAAGAGTTAGCTGCCTTTTTTGCCAATTCTATGGTAACTCTTCCTGCTCTCTAGATCTGAAGTGACTGGCGATCTAGGGTTTTTTGTCGTGCGATCACCACATATCTTCATCATCCCCAGTAAGGATACACCACATCGGCTTCTTTTCCATCTTTGGCCGACCTATTGACAACAAGGACGTAGCAAAGGCAATGGCTTTCTATTTTGGTGTCTTGTCGGGCTAAGATAGTTCCTGTGTTGTTGATTGATAATAGTAGTGGTTTGAATGCAGGAAAATTTCAGTGACTAGCGACTTAGGGATGGCAACTAACAAAAAGCCAAACATCAATTTGGCAGAGTCAGATTACACTCTAATTTCAAGGAAGTCCTGTTGAATTTCATCTCATATCCTTCACTATCACAAACTTGTAGATTGATAAAGTGAAAACGATGCAGCTGCTTTAGGGATGAATAATTAGAAGGTTGGCTCTTGAATTGCTATAGTTTTCAAGGACCAACATGCTGAGCCATAACTGTACCCGAAATTAAGAAGAATTAGTACTTGCTCCTTGAATAATAATAATAATAATAACAATGTATAAATATCAGTTGGCTTGCTGACTGATGTAAGTTTTTTGCTATTGATCATTGAGACAACCATATATCACCAAGATTTTATATGTTTATTCTTTCTTCTAATGCCCAACGTGACAGATCAAGATATTAATTTCAACTTTCTTATTGCAAGTTTTTTTTTTATTTAGTTTTGATTTAAAATGTTTTGGCATGTTGCTGGCCTCTATTAATAATTTGTTGTCAGCGTAACTGTGATGGTAGAACTCCATTATTGGAGGAAAGGAGTTAGATTTGCAATGGCTCTTTGTGGAGGTTACTTCTCGTGGTGGTTAAAGCTTTTATTTTGTTTCATCTTTCTTAATAAATCTGATGTCTGATGTTTGCTCTTTGTTGTTTTGGTTGTGCACCTTGTTTTGCTCAATGAATTGTCCTTATTTAAAAGACATGGCCAACCACACTTTCTATCCAAATTCCTTGAAAGTAACTAAAATATTATAGAATGGTATATTTTTCTGCGTAGGGTATCGATTCCAACAATGATTTCAAATGTGGAGCTCATGTTAGAAAGATGGAAACATCACGAAGGTAAGGAGATTAAAGTATCCTAGGAATTTACGGTTTTGACAACATAAATTATTTCCAGGACAACTTTTGGAAGCAGTTCTTAGAAGGAGAAAAAATATTTACCATGTTCAAAAGGTGGGTGTAATGTAATCAATGTCAGAAATCATTATAAAATTTAAGCACCTGATTTGATAAGGCAAAGCTTCCTCTTCGTAATTTATAGGGTTTAGGGTTTAGGGTTTGGGTGTAATGTAATCAATGCCAGAAATCATTATAAAATTTAAGCACCTGATTTGATAAGACGTGGCTTCCTTTTCGTAATTTCTATAATTTGTGGCTACTTAGTTTTATACTTTTTTCTCTATTAATTCTACAATATCATTTGTTGTCTTGGTAGAAAGTTTGTGGAAATCTATTTTGTTTGTATTGAATTCCCTATTTTTATTAGGTTTCAATTGACAAAATTTCTTTTAATTCTACTGTAATTTTACAATCTGGATTCTTATTTTTCAGCTACTAATAATGTTTGAATTCTGTATATTAATGCCAATTTTAAGGGTTCTAAATTTTAAAAAATCCAGTGGTAACTTCATTTAAATCATTATTTTTAATAAAAAAAATTGGATGGACAAATTGATAATTTACATTCTCTTATATAGTTGAGGACATTGCAGTGATTTTATATTAAAAGTGGGTATATTGGTAATTGAATTGTTGACATGATATAAATAATAAAAAAATTATTAAGTCAACTATTAAGGGTATTTTTGTCTTTTCAGTCAAATAGTAACGGAAAACACTGACAGAACATAACGGAGAGTGGGAAAGTGTCATTTTGAAACTTGACGAGTGGGAAAGTGTCGTTTCACTAAACCTTGGGTTGGAAAATGTCGTTCTCCCGAATATTTTTGTATCACCGATCGACGATATTTATAGTTTCATATAACATTTCAAAAATTAGTAACTTCAATGGTTTCTGCATTTTTTAAATGTTATATAAGTTTTCTAATAGTAGATATAAAAAATTAAGACAGTGTTTGTTTTAATATTCTAGCTCTATCCTACCCAAAATAAATATTTGTTTCTTTAATCTGAAAATTATATTCTATTTTATTCAACTATTTGTAAACCCCTAAGTTTGTTAATTTAATTAAATACCCTTAAAATAAAAAAGTCTCACCCACATTTACCAGATTTCGACGACCACCGTCGGAAGTTAGCCAGAATCTGGTATAATGACGTACTGCTGGCTGGATCTGACCAGTAATGCACCGATCTAGCTTTTTCCGGCCAGATCCACCGTGGATCTAGCCGAAAAATGCTAGATTTGCGATCAAAGATCTAGCCTAAAGTCAAATATTTGGTCATAGCTGGTTGTCAACGACAACCAAGATCCATGGATCTAACTGAAAAAGGCTAGATCTACAGTCAAAGATCTAGCCTAAGGTCAAATCTTTGGTCGTAGCTGGTCGTCAACGACAGCTAAGATATGACCATCGTTGACCATCAACGACGACCATATCTTTGACCGTCGTTGACGACCAAACTTTTTTGCCATAGATCTGGCATTTTCCGGCTAGATTCACAATGGATTTGACTAAAAAAAATGTCATATCAACCCACAA